ATTGGCCCATTTATTCTTAAGCCCAAAGAGGAGTACCCGACCCAATTCCCATTTGCTCCCAACCGGTCCCTGAGTTTTGAATTACGCATCTTTGCTAATCAGCTATTTCCTTCTTCGGCTCCTGCGCGATTCTTACCTTCGGCAACTTCGGTCTGTTTGGAAGTTAATCTCATGAAGGTAAGTTACCTTCTATAATCAATTGCTTGGTCTATTTATACCATTCTCTTCTCTGCCAATGGGTTAGCCGAACCCTTCTTCTCTGCTACTCCTTTGTGGAAGAAATTAAACCTAGGGCAGAATAGATTAGCTGGTTGATGCCCAATTCTCCTCTTCTTGACTCTAGTGGTGTTAATTGACATCCTTTGTGGATGTAAACCGAAGACCTGAGCTGGAATCACCTCATAACAGTGGTATCAGAGACGGGAGAGGTCTGCCGCCGCCACGCCGCCGCCACGCCGCCGCGTCGACGCCGTCCGCTGCTGTCCAGAAGCCACCGGAGGTCCAGGGGTGCTGCCACCGTCTGCCAGGAGCCAAACCAGCCTGCCCAGAGCTTCTGCCAGTCTGGTCCGGACCTGCTGCCGCTGCCAGAGAGGTTCTGCTGCCGCCCCGGGAGTGCCGCTGCTGCCGTCCAGATCTGCCGCCTTGCTCTACAGCAGCCCACGCTGCCTACGGTAAGTCGGGTAACCCAACCTCGGGCCCCGCTCAGGTAAATTGGCGTTTAACACCCTTGGTGTACCGGAGTGCCACCGGATTTATTTTTCCCCCCGCTCCCCGCTGCTGACCTGCGTGGTCTTGGATGCCGGCTGTGTCCGGCCCCAGGTACGTTTACTAATCCTTTGTGTGATTTTTTATTCGTAGTTCATTCATTTTAATTTTCAAGTTAAATTGCAATTACTTGTTTGTTTGAATTGTGATTACTTGTTGAATCGTGAATTAATTTTCCGGTGAAGAATATTTTGTTTGGATACTCGCTGTCCAAAGTTGTGAATACTTCTTCCGGTTTAAATTTAATCACGTGTTGGATTTTTATTTTTGATTTTTCTGTTGATTGATTCGTGGATAAACTCTCCGGTTAAGAATATTTGTTTGGATACTTGTTGTCCGAAGTTGGGAATATTTCTGTCCGGATTAGTTTTAAATCCAGTTTCTTTGCTTGTTGATTTAATTTTAGCCTATTTGTGCTTGTACGAAAGAACAAGGAGAGTGTACCCGAACTTTGTGTTCATTGGTCTTCTCGGCCTGTTCGTGCTAGTTGCTTCGTACAATTGATAGCCCTATAGGTTATAATTATTCATTTATCTGTCTGTTGAGTAAATAAAAATTTTATCTTGCTTGTACGAAAGAACAAGGAGATTGTACCCGAGCCTTGCGTTCATTGGTCTTCTCGGCTTGTTCGTGCTAGTTGCTTCGTACGGTACGAAAGAACAAGGAGATTGTACCCGAGCCTTGTGTTCATTGGTCTTCTCGGCTTGTTCGTGCTAGTTGCTTCGTACCGGTTGATAGCCTGATAATTTTTTTTATTTACTCTCTTGCGTGTTGTGCTTGCTTTCCGGTTAATATGGCTGTCAATCAATATGGCATGCTTCCATTTAACGGAAAGACAGATTTTGATATCTGGAAACAGAAAATCAAATGCGTGTTGATCCAACAGAAAGTCTATAGAGCTGTGACTGGTCTCTATTTAGACTCTGAGGATGCTGCTAAGCGCGTTGAGATGAATGAAACTGCTTGTTCCTCTATATACCTGAACCTTTCTGATTCAGTGCTCAGGAAGGTGGGTATTATAGATTCCGCGAAGGATTTGTGGGACAAGTTGGATAAGCTGTATACCGATACTTCTTTGCCTGGTAAATTGTTTTTGCTTGAGAAGTTCTTTAGATTTAGGCTCGACCTGTCTAAGGACATAGATGAGAACCTAGATGTGTTTAACAAGCTTATTCAGAATATTAAGCAAGCCGGTGATAAACACATAGATGACTACACGCCCATAGTGTTACTTAATGCCATCCCTGACTCATACAATGACGTCAAATCTGCCATAAAGTATGGTAGAGACGATATCTCGTTAGATATAGTCGTTAATGGATTAAGGAGTAAGGAGTTAGACCTTAGACACTCGAGGGGTAGTAACAGTCAGTCTAGGGACTCTGGTGAAGCGTTGTTTGTGAGGGGTAGGTCTAAGAGTAGATCTAGAAACCATAAGAAGGGCAACAACGATAAGAACAAAAACAATGACCCGGGGAAGAAGAGAGGTAAGTCTAAGAAGAGAGTGTGCTATAATTGCGGTAATTCTAGTCACTTCATTAAGGATTGTCCCCATCCGAAGAAGTCTGAACATGCTAATGTGGTAGATGATAATAACTTGCATGAAGAAGTTTTTATGATTTGTGATTCTGCCAATTCTGTGTTGAGTAGCATGACTGAAAATGAGTGGTTGATTGACTCTGGTTGTACTTATCATATGACACCTTTTAGATCCTTGTTTGCTTCTTATGATTCTTGCAATGATGGTTTTGTGTCTCTTGCTGATAATAAGAAATGCAAAATACATGGGGTGGGTGATGTATGTTTGAAGTTTGATAATGGGACTGTGTTTACTATGAAAAATGTGAGGCATGTTCCTGATTTGCGTCATAACTTGTTTTCTGTCGCTGCTTTTGAGGGTAGTGGATTAGAGGGTAAATGGGGTAATGGGTGCATGAAAGTATTGAAAAATTCCCTTGTTTTGTTTAAGGCAAAAAAGGTGAATAACTTGTATGTGTGCCATGCTCAGCCTTTCTGTGATTCTGCTCATGTTGTTAGTTCTGATAAATCTGCTTTGTGGCATAATAGATTAGGACACATGAGTAATAGGGGTTTAGAGATTTTGCATAAATCTGGTTGTTTTGGTAAGGATTCTGTGTCCCCCATCCCCTTTTGTGAATCTTGTGTGTTAGGCAAGCAGCATAAGGTTACATTCCCCTCCTCCTCATATCCTAATCCTACTAAGTGTACCTCTGTGTTAGAGTATGTTCATGCTGATGTGTGGGGTCCTGCTAGTGTCTCTACCCACGGGGGTAAGAGATATTTTCTGTCCATCATTGATGATTTTTCTAGGAAGGTGTGGGTCCGTCTCCTTGAGCATAAGTCCGATGTCTTTGTGAAGTTTAGGGAGTGGAAAAACCTTGTAGAAAATCAAACTGGTAAGAAGGTCAAAACCCTTAGGACAGATAATGGTCTAGAGTTTTGCAATAAGGACATGGACCAACTGTGTGTTGATTGTGGGATTAGAAGGCACAAAACTGTGCCCTATACTCCCCAACAAAATGGGATAGCCGAGAGGATGAATAGGACTGTTCTAGATAAGGTTAGGAGTATGCTTGCCACCGCCGGTTTGTCTAAAAAGTTTTGGGGTGAAGCAGTTAACACTGCTGTCTACTTGATTAACCGGTCTCCTTCTGTTCCCTTGGGTGGGAAGTGCCCTGAATCTGTTTTTTCAAACAAACCCCTTGATTTGTCTAATCTTAGAGTGTTTGGGTGTGCAGCGTATGTGCACCAACAAGGTGACAAGTTGGATCCTAGGTCTAAGAAAGGAGTCTTCCTAGGTTATCCCGAGGGTGTGAAGGGGTACAGGGTTTGGGATAGGAACCAGGTAGGTTTCAAAGTTGTGGTAAGTAGAAACGTTGTTTTCAATGAATCCGAGTTTCCTTGTCTGGTTAAGTCAGTTCCTAATTCTGAGTCTGAGCCTAGTAGTACACCCGTTGAGGTGGAGTCCATACCACGTGCTGCTAGCCCTTTGTTTGTTAATCATGATAATGTTGTTTTGCATGATTCTAATTCTTCTGAATTGCATGATTCTGATTCTTCTGAGCATGATACTACCACCACTTCTAGTGAGGTGGAGCATTCTCATGTGCATTCAAATGACAATGAATCGCATGATGAGAGTACGGATTCTAGTGAGAATGATTTGCATGATTATCAACTTGCTAGAGATAGAAGTAGGAGAGTAATTAGGAGAACTGCTGATAGTATGCCTGATTATGCTTTCCATATGTGTGATACTTCTATGTTTGCTTTCTCTGTGTTTGAGACCCTTGAGCTTAACGAACCTAGAACCTATAGAGAGGCCCTTAAGTCTAATGAGTCCGCTAAATGGCTTTGCGCCATGGAAAGTGAGATGGAGTCACTTAGAGCGAATAAGACTTGGACGTTAGTTCCTAGACCGCCCAATAGTTCCGTTGTTGCCTGTAAGTGGCTATTTAAGGTTAAGGAAGAGCCTAACGACATTAGATATAAGGCTAGGTTAGTAGCTAAGGGATTTACTCAAAAGGAAGGTGTTGATTATGCTGAAATCTTTGCTCCTGTAGTTAAATTTACTACGATTCGTATGATGCTTGCTCTTGTTGCTCATAATGATTGGGAAATGAAGCAAATGGACGTCACCACTGCATTCTTGCATGGTGATTTAGACAAGAAAATCTATATGTCTCAGCCTGAGGGCTTTGTGGATCCCATGAAGAGTGATCATGTGTGTTTGCTTAGGAAGGCCTTGTACAGCCTGAAGCAGTCCCCGAGGCAGTGGAATATCAAATTTGATCAGTGCATGTCATCTTTGAAATTTCACAAGTCCGAATGCGACCATTGCCTATACTTTAAAAATACTTCTTCTGTGCCTGTATTTTTATTGCTATATGTGGATGACATGTTGATTGTTAGTCCTTCGGGTGACGCCATTAAATGTGTGCAAAAGCGTCTCAGTGAGAACTTTGCTATGAAAGACCTAGGTGATGCCAAAAGGATCCTAGGCATTAACATTGTTAGGGATAGGAGTAAGCGTGTGCTAGTTCTCAATCAGATTTCATACATTGAAAAGATTTTGAGTAAATATAACATGCATTCTGCTACTCCCGTTTCTATCCCGATGGCGTCTCACTTTGTGTTAAGTAAGGATCAGTCTCCTAAGACTGCTCCTGAAATTGCTAAAATGAAATCTGTGCCTTATTCCAATGCTATTGGGTCCGTGATGTATCTCATGGTGAGTACTAGACCCGACATTGCCTATGCTGTTAGTTGCTTGAGTAGGTATATGTCTAATCCTGGTTTAGATCATTGGAATGCTCTTAAGTGGTTGCTTAGGTACTTGAAATCTTCTGTTAATCATGGGTTGGTTTTCACTAGGTGTTCTGAGGGGGTTAAGTTGAGTGGGTATGTGGATTCGAATTTTGCTAACGATAGAGACAATAGGAAATCCACTACCTCTTATGTGTTCACTCTTTGTGGGTCTTGCATTAGTTGGAAGTCTCAACTTCAACCCATAGTTGCCCTATCCACCACTGAGTCGGAGTATGTGGCCGCTACCGAAGCGTTTAAGGAAGCCATTTGGCTGAAACGTCTCCTAACGGAGATTGGTAGTCTTAAGCAGGATATTTGTGTGTTTTCTGATAGTCAATCTGCTATTCAATTATGTAAAAACCCTGTTTTTCATGATAGAACTAAGCACATTGATGTTAGATTTCATTTTATACGTGATATTGTTAGTGCAGGTCATATCAAGTTGATTAAAATTCCATCGGAATTTAATCCTGCTGACATGGGGACTAAATGTCTCTCGGTCGAAAAGTTGTTGTCGTGCAAACGCACGTTAAACATTGATTGCGGATAAGTTGCCTGGTGAACTTATCCCTTTTGCCTGAATATGTCTTTGTGATTATTCGGGCAATCCAGCGATGATGAGTCTCAAATTGTTTTAGAGCGTTGTGCTCTACACCACTAGGGTCCAATAAGGTGGAGGATTTGTTGGTATTGGCCCATTTATTCTTAAGCCCAAAGAGGAGTACCCGACCCAATTCCCATTTGCTCCCAACCGGTCCCTGAGTTTTGAATTACGCATCTTTGCTAATCAGCTATTTCCTTCTTCGGCTCCTGCGCGATTCTTACCTTCGGCAACTTCGGTCTGTTTGGAAGTTAATCTCATGAAGGTAAGTTACCTTCTATAATCAATTGCTTGGTCTATTTATACCATTCTCTTCTCTGCCAATGGGTTAGCCGAACCCTTCTTCTCTGCTACTCCTTTGTGGAAGAAATTAAACCTAGGGCAGAATAGATTAGCTGGTTGATGCCCAATTCTCCTCTTCTTGACTCTAGTGGTGTTAATTGACATCCTTTGTGGATGTAAACCGAAGACCTGAGCTGGAATCACCTCATAACACCTCTATTGTGCACGACCAAGAAAATTGTACCCGGCTTTTATCGTGGAGCCAGCGAAGTTTTTAGAAAGAAGAGCTTCCATTAGCAATAAATAAATAAAATTCGCCTCGAATTCCACCAATAATATATTCATGATGGATGATGATACGGTCTTCACATGCACGCACTAGTGGATGAGACAACCTTCGATACGTACTAATCATATCTTATTGACCAGGAGATCACAAAAAAGACACAAAAATAGTAAAGAGAATCTCCTTTAGTTAGAAAATTATTACTCCGTATATATTTTGTCAATTCAATCAACTACTGCGGGCCTCATTAGTGAATCAACATTACAACTACATAGTTAATACGGAGTAATACATTAAACAACAGGTAATAGTTTAGGAAATTAATAAAAATAATTTCCTAATAATAATAATTAGAAGAAGGGTAGAATTAATTATTGGGAGCTACACTATGCAGGTGAAATTTTCTGAAAGCGGAGGAGCCTATTATCAGCGAGGCGAGAGTTGTAGGCAGATTTTTTGTAGTCGGACCAGGTAAACTCCTTGTACAAACTGTCTTCATCTCCTGCCATTAGTGATGGTAATGGAGCGATCTTTTCACTCAAGGGTGGCCCTCCGAAATAAATCATTGACAGCCTTGATTTTGCACTATTTGCCAAAACCCTATGCCTCACGCTCTTAAACCTCCCGTTTGTCATCACCTACAAATCAAAACAAACCACCCCATCACATATACATCGTATTATCATATACCGACATTAACGGGATGAACTAAATATGAAAAATGTAACAATATAATGACATATACTAAAGAAATTGAATAATGTAATGTTGTTTTCGGCTATAAGCTCACTATAGCTGATCCTCTCTTGATTACGTAGGGGTCAGACTAAGCATCACGTTGAAATTTGCACTACTCGTATACATCACTTCAATTACATTTTATTCATTAATGTATTAATTTTCTAAAAAAAAGTGCTCGGTCAATTTTTTTTTTTTTACTAATATCTAGTTAGATATATAAATAGTCAAAATTGTGATTATCAAACATCAAAATCAAAAGTGATACAACTAAAAATGAACACCATTTTGAAACACGGAATAACATAACATTTAAAGTATCTATACCAAAAACACATTTAAATATCTATTAAAGGAAACGGTATACGGAGTATGTCTACTATTCTATAATACTTCAATTTTAGTTGGCATTTATCTTGGATCACATATAAATAAAAGAGAGAATTTCGATTTAAATGGTTGGTAGAATCAGAAAAGGAGTATCTAGTACCACTTTGTAACGGGTCATATGACACATAATTATCCATATAATTAAGATGGGTGGATAAAAATGCACTATTAACAGTTGTTTCTTATTACTTTGATAATCCTTGAGTCCTTGTATACAAATCTAAATAATTATTGATAAACATGTGGATTTACTTTAGTGTAGAATCAATTAAAGTAAATATTGTACAAATCACTTTTTGAATAATGCCATCTCAATCCATACTGTCAACCAGCTTTTTATAAGGTTCCGGGCTGCTTCTAAGCCATAGACTAGGATACATCACCTAATTGGACTTTGGCAACGCTTGGGAGCCTAGATGGGATAGGGGTATCAGACTTGATTCAGATAAAATCAATGTCATTCAAAGAGGTGTAACGTCTAAATGGAGTTGGTAGGAGATTTTTTGGAATAATGGTTCCAACTAACCGAATTCCACTTGTTTTAGGCAAGTAGCATAATCAAATTTGGGAGATTAGAGGACCGACTATAAGGGATTTTAAATTATTGAGTTAGCATTTAAAGAAAGAGTTTTTTTTTTTTTTTCATAAAGAGAAAAATTCTAAAACCGGATGCGACACAAACAAAGTGAATGAATAAGTATTTTCTGAAACTGAACACAACTATATACTCCTCTGTCCCAAATTCATAATTAACTTCATTTTTAATACTCCCTCCGTCCCGTAATTAAGTTCATACTTTCCTTTTTGGGATGATCCATATTAAAGTTCCTACTTCAAACATTTCCTTGTTTGATAAATGATTTACACCAAACAGTGCTAAGCAGTGTTCAAACAGTGCACTCCATAGTAAAGTCAAATTTTTTTCTTAATATGTGTGAAGTCAAACTACATTAAAATCTCTTCGTAGTTGCAAATTCCAAATTAGAATATAATTAAAAATTGACTTCCTAATTAAGCAAATAAAATGAAGTTGTTTGACAAAAAAAAATCAAATTTGCAAATCAATTTAGAAATCAATTTAGAAGGGACATACTATAGTAATTTTATACTTTGAAACAATTTCTCTAAAAGAAAATGGAAGCTTACAAACTTTTTAGTGGGAAAAAAGGATAGGGCGAAGAAGGATATTTAATATACCTGGAGAGAATCGCCAACGTTGACGAAGAAGGAAGTGTGATCGGGCGGAACGGAAAGCCAGGTGCCATCTTTGAGAGCGATTTGGAGGCCCGAAGTGTTGTTGGATCGGAGAACAGAAATGATCTGTGGGTCTGTGTGCTCGCCGAACCCAATCATGCGGTCCCTGTCCATGTCTCCGAAGTCCTCAGGTGGGCTGCAGGCCCGGCCCGGGTAGTGATTCAGCCTGAACACCGAGTCGCTCGCCTCGTCCATCACCAGCCGGCTCAGCGCATTCCTCGCCGATATCTTCAGCCCCTCCGCCATCAGCTCCAGAACCTCACACGCCATTTTCTTCACCGCTCTCACATAATCATTCACCGCCGCCCTGTTTTCATTTTTTTATTTTATATATATACGAATAACTATTTCGAGCTTAATACAAATATCAAGCATAAAACATGATTATGTATTGAAGTTACTTTTCAAAATTGCTGAAATAAAGAGGACTACTTAATTAGCTATTTTCTATAATCTTTTACGCAGTATTTATTAATAAAATACATTTCGAATAATTTTTTACAATTTAGCCAATTTAATTGCTTCACTCGAAAATTTACATATTTCACCCAATTCTTTCAACTTCAATATTACTCAACGGAATATTCACAATTTCTAAGAGAACGTAAAGTTGATTTTACTTTACTTCTTTTTTTTAAGTAGAAACATAATATTTTTGAAATTGCTTTCTCACAACTTCTAAATAACTACTTCTAGGAGCAATTTGGAGCAGCAAAAAACACTTATACATTTTTACTCCAATATCTGTTGTTCCTTGAACAAGTAGAAGAGCTTTGAAAAATACATCCAAACACTTCTATCACATGAAGAAGTACTACGTATTTTTAAAAATAACATATTGATTTTTTCATAATCGCCACATTGATATCTCATAAGTGGCAAATACTTCTATCACGTGAAGAAGTACTACGTATTTTCTTAATTTCACTGTCACGGTTTTTAAAATCTCTTTTCCCGGCCTTATTGTGCTAGCTAGTGTGTTGATATTTACTAAAAACTAAATTAAAGGATAACTTGTACCATGCGAAATATCTTTTAGTTAAATGTAGTTAAAATCACTTAAATCATCTATCTCAAAAGTATTATTCATTCCATTTCAAGAGAAACAATTCATAATATTCACATCTGTTAACTACAACAATAGAATCTTTTCCTTTTTAAACTTTGGTATAGTATCAAATAAATTTTGAGAATAGTTACGGACAATTAGTAAACAATTTAGAATAATCCCTCAAATTATGATATATACGAAGTACTACATAGTACTAGTGTTCAGTGTACTACACATCATATACCCGTAATGAGGCAGGAAAATGAGGGTATGAAAGTGCAAAAAAAATAGCCCGGCCGATAACTCGCCAAGGGCTATTTTATTACTCCGTACGTACTACTTAAAGTTTTGCACTTCCTATTAGTTAGCAATTATTACATATCTTCACGAAATAAAAGTAATTAGCAATTATCAAACTAATTAATAATACGGAGTAGCATATTTAATTCTTTTTAGTTACAAAATTTTGAATGTTCATTATGACATAATTACCTATCGGTAAATATTACAAAAACGTTTATAGTTTGGTTGTATATATTAAGAAGAACTTAATAGCATTTTATATTTTATATACGGAGTAACGTAACATTCTACTCCGTATATTTTACACCCAATCCATCTCATATGGTGAAAGTCGAATAAATAAATAGTTAAATCATTATAGCTTAAAAATAAATCATAAATACACTGTAAATACCTTACAATTATGAAATTGAACACGTGAACCATACGTTTTTAGACGTTTTATCCATCTCACAATTAAAGTCTCCATTTTAACTTTATGGTCTCTACATAGAGATTTGATAGTAATTATCTATACATATAAACCTATTTAGACTATAATAAATTAAATTTGAATAATAAGCCTGTATTAAAATATACTCCGTATAAATTTGTGAGATAAAGTATTACGTGTATTAATTTTGAGCAATTAAGAGATGGAAGAAGAATTTAAAAGTTCAATCATTATTAGCCTCGGATATGTTTCAACGAGTATGTGACTATTTTCTTAAAACACGTCAACTTCAAATATCCATATTAGTCAAATACTCAAATGTGTTAGAACTTGACATATTACGTAACTTTATGCCAAATAATTTATGGTATAAAATAAAATAAAATTGCTTCTATTAAACATATTTAGTCTTTTATATACAGAGACTATGACTATTCATTACTACAATGTAGTATTGTGATAATTTAAGTTCAAAATTTAAACATGAATTACTATGATTTCATTACTACTCTACTAATTAATCATATTTTTGTAAACTATCTCTTTATGTAATTTCTAAAATTTAAGTCCGGAGTACTTTGGTCAAACAAAATATGTCATAAAAAAATCAAAGTTGACAAACGTACAAGGATCCAGAAAGGAGTATATACTCCGTATAAAACTTACTTGAATTTCTCTGGGGTTAAACCCATAATTGTTGAGAACTTTCTGTAATCAAATTCCGGGTTTCTGGTGGATAGCAGAATGTATTCTACGCACCCAATATCCCCATTTCCTCCGATCTTCTTATTCCCATACCCGAACGGGTCCGGCGGCCCAGCCTTTTCTTTCTGGGAGGCCGGGGAGGAGAAGAACTTGACGGCCTCCGCTTCGAGCCTGGTTATGAATTCCGCGGGAACGCCATGGTTGACCACCTTGAAGAACCCGAACTCCTCGCAGGCTTTTACGAGGAGGTGTTTGGCGGCTGCCGGTTTGGAAAGGTCTATGGACGGGACATAGAATGGGGAAGCGGCGGTTTTGAAGGGCTTGGCAATGGAGAGCTGTTGGGTGGCGGGGTTGGCTAAGACTACCATGGCCAGTTGCTCAAGAAGCTGGTATAGGCTTTTAAAAGTATTTATTGGCGAAAGGATCGGTTGCTTCGGTGGGTTTTATAGGTGACCGATGAAGGAAGGCGGTTTGCTATTGGGACGTTTAGATCATAGTTCCTCTATTGTTTTTTAGTTGCAACATTGCCTTTTTTACGCTTGTCAATCCATACCATTTACCGTTATTATATTTAATTCTGTATTAGTAAAAAACTTTTTAAAATGAGATTATGAAACTTTGTAATGAGACGAATTTAACAATGTTATTCAAAAATAATAATTCACACACATTAATAAATAAAATGTAGTCAAAGTAGAGTACATGAATAGTGTGTAAATTCCAATGTTTCAACTATTATGATACGGAGGATAGTACTCCGTAATATAATGATAGCGGTTACTTTATCATCAATCACTCCAAAATTGTCTCATAATAAAGTTTGTGTGACTCTAAAACATTAGTAATTTAATTATTCTTATATTATCAATTAATATAAACCACACAATTATGGCACTCCGATCCCATCTGTCTCAATATTAATGGGACCGAGGTAGTAATGTTTTAATATAACTAGGAATTTTTTTAATTTTAATTGATAGTGTATATTTGTCAAAAACAATTGATCTATATATAGTGTCTAGTTTGATATGCTTGACTTCATCGCATACGTTTTAATTTGGTGTGATGTATAGTGAATATTGAAATGAATCAAACTAAAACATTCAAATTACTCGACCTTTTATAACTTTATCATATAATTTTATCCGGGATTGTATTGTAAGTGACGAATGGTCTGTTGAATTAATAAAGGAGTTTAGTACGTCCCGGTTAAAAAAAAACTTTATCGAAATTGGCTGAAACATGAAAATGTGAAATAGTTAATAAATAATTGCTACTTCTGTTTTTGACATGAAAAGAAATGGTGTGACAAATTAAGAAAAGTGAAATTGTGTAGTTGTAACTAAATTGATTAAGTATAAATAAAGTAAAAATGGATTGTAATAATTCAAATATAATCAAATATGGTATGTTGTGTATGTGGTTAATATTGAATAGATAAAACCACAATATAATACGGAGTAATAAGTACCGAAGTATTTAGAACCACACAATATTAATTTATCTAAGCATTTCGAATAGATTAATTTAGTATGACATAATCTGACGCCGGAGTATTCCGTAATAAGAATAGAAATTGATACTTTTGAAAAAATTGTAAGGGTCTGTTTGCAATAACTTTTATTTTTAAAAAAGTGTTTTTTTAATGAAATGGGGAGAAGCGATTAAATAAAAGTTGATAGTGTTTGTGAAAAAAGTGATTTTGAAAAGTAAAAGTGGGTAGTGTTTGGTAAAATAAGTGTTTTTTGTGTAATAGAAAAAATAAAAGCACTTTTGACGCGGAAGCCGAGAAAAATAAAAGTTGTAGTGTTTGGAAAAATAAGTGTTTTTTTAAAACCAAAAGTTGAGAAGTGTTTTTTTAAAAACAGTTGCAAACAGACCCTAAGAAAGTTTGCAATGTGGGTATGGAAGAAGTACATGTATGCATACGCTGGGTACTAGGAAGAGGTCTAGAATAGAGTTGCTACTTTCTAGTTTTGCACACTTGTAAGTCTTGTGCTGACTACCTGTTTAAAAGCACTTTTTTTCTCTCACGTTTAGGAAATGATGAAAATGCTACTCGTTTTTCTTTCCTTGGTGCTTCGTAACTGTTACTCACCTTTTTAATAAACCTTTTACTATGTAAATTTTGAAATAAGATGGATTAAGTGGGTTTGGTTGGTGTACATAGTTTAGGCGTATTCACGGTTCTAGAAGTCGCTCTAGGCGCCCGACTAGTCCCCGCCCAGACGCTAGACGGTCGGACGCGGGATACCCCGATTTTTGTCTAAGCGCTCCGACTAATTGATTTGGCGTCTAGGTGAATTACTCGGCCGCCTATGACGCCTACTTGCCCGCCCAAAGTGCTTAATCTCCGCCTAGGGCGTCTGGATTCATCAAACAATTTTTTATTTTTTATTTTCTTTTTGTGAGAGATATATGTACCTTTAACATTAATCACGAATATGAAGAAAGATACTTGTAAAGTAAGATAAAAACTACTCCGTATATATGTTTGTATATATATACTTAAATTTTTTTATTATTATTTAATATTTATAACATAATGTAGTTAAGTGATTAGTTATCATATATTATTTCATGTGACAATTCAATCATTCATGCATGTTAATGTGTGTATATATTTTTCATACATACACAAACATGATACTACCATTTTATTATGCATTACTTATCATATGTATGCGAAAATATTAATAAAAATACAATTTATGTGCCTCCAATTAGTCCCCGCCTAGGCGCCCGCCTAGCCGCCTAGGTGCTAGGCACTAGACTGACTCCCAACGAGCGCCCAGCGCATTTTAGAACCTTGGGCGTATTTAATAAATTTGTTTTAGTTCTCCATATAAGTTACATGAGCTTTTTGTTTACTTTTGTTTCATGTAAAAGCCACCTCAAACATATTACCTCTATTTTCAAAAGGTGACCTGTAGATTGAGAGAAGAGTAGAAAAAGAGAGAAGATAAATAAAAAAGTGAATTAAGTAAGAGGAAATAACACATTAGAAAATACGGTTACAAGTTGACAAAATAGACAAAGGAAACTTTATAAGAAAAAAATAAGGGTGAGATAGTGATAGAGTATATGGACCAGATTAGATTCACGACCCACACAATTTGGACACCTAAACGACCCAAGCCCATCACACTACTTAGGGCCTCTCAAGTCTCAATCAAGTCCAGTCTAGAATGAAGAAATACGCTCTTTGTTCGAACAGTCGTCGCGGTCTCATCACCTGTCACATTGCCCATTATCTTAGACAGATCGTTAAGAAATAAGGACATCACCAGACCCGGGATGCACACCTACACCTCGGCCAATGTCACCTCAGCCAACAGAGGACACTTAGCCAAACGTCAGTCCGAGAATGACACACGTCAAGTTCTGCTATGCTGCAGGGCTCTCGCCTATAGAATAGTCAACACGTGTAGTGCATTTAATGCACCACCTCATTAATTACTAGTATAAGTACCCTCTTGGTGGCAGTTGTAAAGGGTTCGACTCCCATTAATACATTGCACATTCTTTCTCTAAATTATTAAATCTCTCTTCTCTCTACTATACCACTAGCGGTGTACTGGGAAGCTATCAGATAGTTTATTACTCTTTTGAGGAATGGAGAAAGTTTCATTTAGAACACATCTTCAAGAGTCCATTTAATAAATTTATGCATGTGTATCTCGCACGTCACATATGCATCATTCACATATGCTCTTCTTTTTTATAGTGATCTTACCATTCCAATTTCCTCAATGCAAATTGATGACAACAAGACTATTAATAAGGTTATCAATCAGGGATGGACTTTCAATTTTTTTACTATGTATAATATTTTTTTTAAAAAATCATAATTTAATAAACTGATTTACATAATGTAATACACAATCGGAGATTTAAAAAAGAAACATCTAAAATAATTTATATAACTTAAACAAATAAGCAATAGAACACCTCATTGTTTAAGACTTAGGATACTTATTATATTGAAATTTCTAGTATAGTAATGTTTAATTATCTTTATTAGATAACTAGTACTCAATTTTGTAAAATGTCAAATGATATTAAATATTAGTCACACTAGTTAAACAATTTTTAGATCATGTGAATATTAAATACTAGTCACACTAGTTAAACAATTTTTAGATCATGTGAAGTGAATCCAATATATAAATGTTTGTTGACATTAACCGACACACCATTCATTAACTTTTTACTTTCTAAAAACAATTTATTGCATAGATAATAAACTTGAGGGAAAGTTCCCGAAATAGGACTAAAACAGTTTGAAAATTCCAAAATATGACTGACATGTTTTTTATTCCCAAAATAGGAGTAATTACTGCCAAGTTTGAAAAATACTGTCATGTTTGAGTCTAGTACTGCCAAAACATGACAGTAATTAGTCATATTTTGGGAATAAAAACATGGCAGTCCTATTTTGGAATTTTCAAACCTTTTTAGTCCTATTTCGGATAATATTTTTCTAAACTTTAACTTATTTTAGCATTAATACAAATAAAATATCCACCACATATACGGAGTATGATAACGGACATTTTTTGGAAGGTTTAAAAAGTTATTTGGAGCACTTCAATACTTTTTTACACTTTAATGTATCAATACTTCTTTCTAGAGCACTTCAATTATAAAATCAAAGTTATTTTTCCATTGTCTAAACTTGGAATGCAATAGACTTAAATGACGTTATGTATGTAATAATGGAATTTCGCCTCACTACACTAGCGAAAAAAATTCGCCACACTGCACAAGCAGAAAAAATTTGTCCCGCTACACTAGCGAAAAAGATTCACCCCCAACTCTAATGAAATTCTTTTCGACCCTTGTCTCGAAATACTAGATCCGTCCTATTATCAATTCTCATTGTATCGAATATTGGAGGGTTATCTACACTGTATCGCGCATCCAAAAGAGTCAATGACAAATCAACAAACCGTGTAGACAAGTATATTAATTTGTGACGAGGATAGCATTCACTTTAATCGTTTTCTAAACATCCTTAAATTTGATGTCATAGGCTCGATTCGTTTATGTTACGTTCTAGTTATCTTTTTCTTTATTGTTTATGCACCGGGTAATTCTAAATACAACCCACTTTTTATTAAATACAGCCCTTAATTTAATTAAATGTCTATGATATCCCTATTATTGCTACTCCAATGCATCGGCTCTCTCTTTGATTACACAGCAACTTTACTAGCAGTGGCAATGACACCGACAATATTCTCCGATGGTTCTAAAACCATATGTCTTTATTATAGTAATTGTTTAATTATAAAACTCTTTGCAAGTTCTTTATCAAGATCGGACTATATATAAGTTAATGTGCACGAAAGACCCATACTTTGTGGCCATATTGGTGGGATTTGGTGCTTATTGTTACTTGGT